CACAATGGGAAAATCAAGATCAAAGTTACTGAGATCAAGACCAGGGCAACAAGTAGTTTTCTAAAACCACCTGACACTAATCTTTCATTTCCGAACTGCTTTGATGTCTTGTCTACAATAGTCCAATAGCTTTTACTTCAAACAATTATAGATAGATAAAAGGAAAAAAGAATGCAAAGCAAAACAATGCTGTGGGGAAAGTCCCAATCCACGTGCGTCCTCAAATTTCAAATTTGGGGGGAATCCAGTTACGTCTTTTTTTCAAAACCAAGGTACTGATTGAATGCACTAGCAGTTGGGCCCAGTTGGATTCATGTCGTATAATTATTCAGAATGCGTTTAGCATTTTAATATTGGTTAGTGCAAATAAGATACGATCCTAGAAGGTGAATTTGTTCGTTAATCTCTACATTAAAATTTGATTTGTGACATACACGGTTTGTGAGTTCCACCGACGACCGCCATAATGCTTTGGTTAGGCTAGGTGTTTGAAAAGATTTTTATCTAGTGACACCTTGTACACTAGTAAGTAAAACAGTAACGTAATTACAAAAGCAAACAACTTCTATTCCCGGGGGTTTTAATTTAAGAATGATAAAAGACAATAGCAAAGACACTAAAATCAAAATGTGTACGTAAATCGCCTACCTGGTTGGCACGTATCTGCCTAGATCAGCGGGAGACGAAGCCTGTCTTGCCACCTCTCAATGTAGGGCGACCTTGTCGATCGTGTGTAGCAGCGTGAAGTGAAGCACTAAAATGACGTGAGACTTGCAACAGCGCGTTTATAGGCAGGCCGGCGGGGCTATTTTTAGATTCTTGGTATTCCCTACTTTCCGGGAAAAAGCGAGAGCGTTGGATCAGGCTAGTAATAGTACGTAATCACTATATTGGAAGACAAAAGATCAACTTAATGTGAATGAAGGTGCTGAGGAAAGCTTGGCAACGAACGATCAATGACAGGTTATTTATAAACACTACGTGTTCCTGAGGAATTGTTTACGGTTCTGTAGAATAAACATCAATGGCTACGAAATATCAGCCCAAACTGAAAAAAGAAATTTAGGTGTGGTGCTAGATCAAGATATGTCAATGAAATACCATGTATCCAATCTTTGTAAAAATCTATATCTCCAGCTGAAGAAAATAGGGAGTATTAGAAAATATCTATCTATTGGTGTCACCAAAACTTTTATAACATCACTTATATTGTCAAGGAT